CGCTTCTTCTTGCCCTTCTTGTATCCAGCTGCCTCCTCAACTGTAACAACGTTCCAATCATCATCCAAGTTCCGGATGGCGTCTTTAGAGGAAGGGATAACCTCTGCAGTGTATTTGTCAGTTTCTGGACTCTCAATACCCTGACCGATAAAACATACCAAATCCCTCCACATGCTCCAGCAAACCCTCATCCTGCATGCCCTGCCTGATCGCCTCCAGTATGGTCGAGAAGAATTTATTGCGACTCTCAACCAGAGTTGGTGGGCTCGTGTAAGCCATGTTCTTGGTTTCCTCAAGCATAGCTCGGCAGTCACGAATCAGGGAGTGAAGGGAGATGCCTCTGCCCCCATGCAACTCCTTGGTCAGATCACTGGCGAACTTCTTTGATGGAGCAGTAAAAGAATTCGTGAGCTGTTCCTGGCTTGCGGGTCAGGCGCGCCCCTGGGCGAGTGTCAGTCAGGAAAATTGATTGGCGGGCGAGAAAGAGAACTTACAGATAGCCTCCCAGTCAAAGATGTTGTTTGAGGCCATGGCTTGATCTTCGGGTGAACGAACGCTTGAGCGGGCGTCCGAGCAAGTAGGACTGGTAGTAGCTCAAAGAACGCTGCCCCGCGTAGCGGATGGATCAGATTCTTGGAGACCTTTGAAATTGTTGTCAAAGGTTGTGCTTTTTGCCTTGCGTTTGGTAGGAAAGAGAATGAGAAGATGTACTGAGGAGAAAGCAAGACAGGAAGCTGTACACAACCGGGCTCTTAAAGGGTTACTGTAGCGGGTCTAGTCTGCGGTCTATTCACTTTGTGAGCAGACATGATGAGTAAATAGAAGAAAGTAGGCGGGGTATTGCTCTTGGGGGTGGACTTCCATGTGCACGTCCTTGCTGCTTTCTCCTGAAAGTTATCCAATATCTGTGGATGTGAAGCTCTGTGCTGAGTGAATGGCAGCCTGTTCAAGAGCATCAGAGCTTCCTGACCTATCCCTCTGCGTCAGCATCTTCAAGCCTGCCTCTCTGTACTCACCCCTCTGCGGGTCTGTCTGTCGCGATAATCTGGCGTTGCGATCTGGCAACCCGGGGCTTCCGCAGCTCAACCTCTTCCGGCACCACTTCCGTCTTCTTCCGGCCCCATTTCACCCCGCTACGCTGGACCAAACCAACTACACTGCCGGTATGCACCCGGAACTTTCCACACAGTAAGTCGCCCAATCAAAAAAAAAATTGGCGCTTTGCCATCCAATCCTTTTCAACAACTCATCATCCATTTCCATATATTCTGTTACAAGCCGTCGACCCCAGGCAAGTTGTAGAGTCCCTGTCCTTGATGAATATTGCCTACTTCAGAAGCTAATTTTTATTCTAGTAGCAGATAGATCTCGTCGTTGGCAAAGCTCTCGAAATCTCTCCCTCCGTGTCACTCCACGCTGTCAGCCCCCAGCCAACCGCGCGGTCCCCGTGACCAAGTACCGGAGCCATTCAAGACGATGGGAACCATGGGGGATTTCCTTGTGGAAGCTGCTTGGAATCTTTCCACATCTGGGCATATCACCTGGGTTATCTGCTATAAACGCTAGACTGTTGTACGGGTGGTGATGAGGTCGCAATATATTTCGCCACAGCCATGTCCCGTTGCCCAGGAGTATGCTGTGTGTTCATAGTCCTATGGCATATTCTACGTGATTGATTGACTTGGAAGTAGAAAGGGATTGTAACAGAAAGAAAATGAAAGATACCTAGTAAGTTGCCGTGAATTTGTATCCTTGGAGATACCAGTATTTCTGGAATAACGCTCCATCGAAACAGCATCTACATCATCGGGCACTCCCGACAGTGAGGCAAGATCTCCTTGACTCTCTTCTCCATCTCAAGGCGGTTAGGCTCCCTCCTGGCCCTCTCCTCCTCCATCCACTTCTCCTTGGCTTTCTGGATTTCCTCGTGATTGGCAAACGTAGCGATACCTATGCAATTTCGATCAGTTTTCTATCAACATATTCCAACATCCTGACAACGTACTATAGGTATTCTCTCCGCGCTTCATGTAAGCACGGTTGGAAATGCAACCTCTCTTCTCAAGCTGTCCACGGAAACGGCCTATAAGATTTATTAGTTGTATCTTCTCAATCCCCACCACAAGATATCGGTATGCTTGCAGTGGAGATCGCCCTGCAGGTAATACAAGAACATCTGCGTGGCGGCGAATCTCGCCGGCACATCAGCGTTGGAACGATCTATGCCCCAAACACAGGGCTCCTTGACCTCGTTGAACAACGCCTGGCATTGGGAAAGCAAGAGGACAGCGGGAATACCGGCATCGCCATTGAGGGTGCCAACTAGAGCGCGGGCGGCGCTCAAATGCCCACCTCATGGGCGGGGGTGTCACGACTCAACAAGGAGTAGATCTCCGGTGCTAAAGTCCAATGCTATTAGCACTGACTTGTACCCGAAAAACATCGTTGGGGATGGGTATCTTTGCATACTGCTGAGGGCCAGCTCGACAAAGTTAACTTGAGAATCTTGGATAAAATTCAAGAGTTAGCAAACGAGCATAAAATAAAATCTAGGCGGCACGGGACGATGCTTACCACTCATTGTGCGTTCTGGAACGGAGACGGGGGACGCGTTTCCAAACGATCTTACGGGTGGGCAAAACACAGTTTTTGGAAAAAATTAAAAACAAGAGAAAAAAAATAAAAGCATGGCAAGTCGCAGTTACTTATCAGTGCAGCTTCAGCGATGAGAGGTATCTGTCTTCGTGTGATATCCGTGCCCGTGATCTCTTGACACACAAGTAGAGAAGTTCTGAGACGCCCAATCCCACGGTTCCCACCTCGGCCACTTGTGTTCCATCATGCGTCCTGTTGAGAGGCGTCAGCTGGAAATCGGCAGGAAAGAACTGGGATTCAGGAGAATAGAGTAGAACCCACAGGTAGAGCACACGAGGAGGGTCTTTTAGAGTAGAACGACCAGCAAAGGGAGAGCATAAGGTAGCAAAAAGCAACGACCAACATCAAAGGAGAACCGCTGACAAAGCTACCAGTCACTTGAACACGCATCAGCTCCCCAAAACAACCTATACCACGTGTCTGCCAGCTTTAATAACAACAAACCTCGCATCTTCTTCCACCAAATCAGAACACACACTGTGTTTGGCCATGTGCTCTTGCATTCACTCCGAGTGCCCCACATACAATTTCAAAACACTGTGGGGTCAACTCCTGTGGTGGGCGCTACTCTATAGTATTTGTCGATGCCCTGGTTGCTTGACTCGTATCTTCGCTCCCTCTATAGGCCGCGCTGGGGGATGGTGGGTCTGGGGATTAAGCTGGCACGGTTTTCCTTTTTTTGTGGCGTTTTTGACTTTTCCTTTCCGTCCATGTTGAGTGCAAATAAAAGAATAAAAGAAACAGCGAACAGGTTGTGTCAGTAACGTTTTCAATTTTGTTAAAGGCAGGGAAATGCCTTTTGGAGTGTCTTCAGCCCCCCAAACTGTTCAGCTACCCCAAGTTTTGCCCACCCACTCACATAGTGACGATTGTTGTTTCTTCTCTGTTTCTGGAAGGCCTTGGTGACTTGAGTGCTCTTCTCTATCCTCAAATTCTAGCTCATCGACCATGACTGCAAGTAGGTAGCAAGTATATGTCAGTATGTCTCCTGTCGCAAACTGTAGGTACCTAAGGTGAGGTTGGCGTACGAAATCCAACTTACCTCTCGACATGAACTTCGGCCCTTGCTCCTTCGCATCCTGAGTGATGTCAACCCACTCCTTGTCTTCATCCCTGTCCGCTGATGAAGCTGTCAATATCAAGACCCGTTTTGATATGTTGTCTGGGCTGTACACTTGCCTTTGATTATGCGCGTCATGACGGAGTAGAATGTATACTCCCCCAAAAGCTCAACATCTTCCTTTTCGCTCTCTGCCATTTCTCTGACGGTCAAACGCTTGTGTGAAAGTCACGATTTTCCTGGTTCTGGGGCAAACAGCCGAGCTCTCTCGATACTTTGATTGATCCTCGTGCGTATGGCGTTCTTGAGGTCCACGATATCCTTGAGGATCATTTCGACGGTGTACTCATTGTAGTTTTTTCGTAGGTGACAGTACCTGTCGGTTGCCACGTACTGGACTTCGTCCTTGTCTAGCTTGCGGAGCTCTCCCTCGCTGTTCAAGAAGTACTTTCTCAACTGCGGCCATGGGAAAAAGTCGGAGTCGTGGGGGTACATTACCCAGTCTTCTCTGCGGGATTGAAAGGATGCCGTCGTGTACAAGCGCGTGTGGTGGACTGGTGGTTGGCTGGAGTCGAGCTTGAGGAGCAAATGTAATGTCAATCATTTTTGTTGAAGATCAAGGTTCTTTTCCAATGATCAAGTTCACTTCAGGTATGTATAGTTTCAGCCTCAGTGGGAGCTTTGGCTTGGAGTGTTTTTCAGTTTGGTGGTGGAGGGCCATGGAAAGTGAGTATAACCGAAGCTTTGGGACAATTGAGCACGTCACTCCCCGGTTTCATAGCGTCAAAAAGCCAAACAACAACTGAAGCATCGTCCGAAATGACAAGAAGCAAAGCATGAGATGGAAGGTACCTGCATATCCTACAACCTGACTTGCAAGCTTTTGTCACAAAGAATAAGGCACTGGAAACTTCAGGAGGGAAAGAACCTTAAACCCCAGAGTTTTGACCAAGAGCGCCACGCAACCTGAACACAAAAGTTCACATCACAATGATCTGTTTGATGCTGCGCTGGCCGTGTATATCGCAGCATGGCCCACCTGATTTACGCTTAAAGTCGTGATAAACTGTCTTAATACCCGGCCAAGGCCTGGTTCAGGCAATTAGGTGATCATCGCCCTCCAATCCCCAGCACCCTCATTTCTTCCCCTTCCCAAAAAACCACTCGGAAACCTTGTTCAAAACGCCTTTTCTCTTGACCCCCTCTCGCGCCATAACATCCCGGATCTCATCCAGATCGATCTTGACTAAGTATGCCACCATCGTCAGTCTTTCCACTCCCAATTTCAAACCACATCCCACGTACCAAAATTACCACTCTGCCCACTACCATCACTCAACCCACTATCCGTGCTCTCACACCCAGGGCTCTTGCTCCCCTTCATCTTCTCAGAAATGACCTCTCTTTCCTGCGCTCTAAGCTGGACAGTCACCATACCAGTCAAGATGAAAAAGAAGGCAAACTGCAACTTAGCATCGTTACCACCCCCACCACTCTCCCTGAGCTTTCTGGCGTCTTTGAGAGCCCGCAAGGAGTCATCGAGCATTTCTTGGAGGGGGTTGCGTTTGGCGGCTTCGGTGAGGATGTCACAGGCGACGTCGGCGTAGATGCTGTCGTCGTAGATGAAACGACCCTCGGAGGTGAGGAGTTTCGGCTTGATGGAGGACCAGGGGAAGATTTTGCTGGTGGACATTGTGCCGGTGCATGGTGAGGTTGGTTTGTGATGATATTGTTGTGAGGTTCTCTGAAACAGGGCGGGCTGTATTGGTGTTTGAAAGTAAGAAGGTGGAAGTCCAAAATGGGAAACAGGTATTATTCACTTGAAGAGCAAGATCTTGCTCTCGTACACCATGGACATGGTGGCGCCACCTGGAGCAACTTGCATCCATGGCGGCGTCAAGATCCACACAGATGACTTCAAAGTTTTGTACTGCCTGACAACACAAGCGTGGCGCTCCCCCTTTGGTGTTGTCGTGATCAACCTTTGATGGTCTGGGAGGTCTGTGCTGTGATGTCTATTTCCGATGCAGAAAAACATGAATCACACAGGCAACTTGGCCGAGCGGTCTAAGGCGGTAGACTCAAGATAACATCTTCCACTCAGAAATGAATGGTATTCTACTCTCGAAAGAGGCGTGAGTTCGAATCTCACAGTTGTCAATTTACTTTTGCTATCTTTTTTCCCCCTCTCCGCCCAAAACAACGAGTAAGGTTGAAGACTCACTCAACCGCTGAGGCTTTGTAAAAACAGGTTCATTGAGCTATTCAAGAAAAAAGAAGAGACACATTCGCCGTACTATGCACTTTGTCAGTCCATACTATGTGAGCCGCTTTTCCCCAGATATACCCCTAACCCTCCCATCTAAACTCCTATTCTAGCGCTGCATGTATCAACAGGCCTCACGTTGAACCATCTTCAAACACATCGTGCAAGGGCGAAAACAATTTATTTTTCCCAAGAAATAGGTTTTTTATGGGCAATTTCATATAGGTATTTATTTTTCAATAATTAAATATCATGGGTAGTATGGCTATAAAGATAGTGGTTGTAGATGTATGTCTTCCTCGACATTTCAAGTAGCCCCACACTAGTGCGGATTGACAAAGTGCATAGTGCGGCGAGCCTGTCTGAAAAAAAAAGCTTGACTTAAACGTTCTTCTGCGCACACATAATTCCACTCGATAACGAGAATGCTACAGTCTATTTTGAGCGCTGGCCAGACCGCTTGCACGGCTGCCTAAGGTAATATGCACCCACTGGTCATCCGAGTCTCTATTTTCGTCAACCATCTCTGTAGACATCACTACAGTCAGCGAACCTCCTTCCGACTTGATAGCCCAAGAAGAAAAACACCAGATTCCTACCGTAATCATCCTCCCAACTCTCCTCATCAATCGGAGTCTTCAACTTCTTGATTTTTCCTATGCAAATCATTAGAAAACTTCCTGAGACGCAGAAAAGATTGACGTTACCCTCCAAAACCTCGATCAAAATCTCATAAAACCTGCACTTTTCCTCATTCTCTTCCCTTTCCTTGGAACTTGTCCTCTCAGCAGATTTGCTATCATTGGCATCGGTACTCTCGGACCAATCTTTTGCCGCAAACTCAGCAGCGCAACAATGGGCCTGCGCCTCGAGGAGCATCCCTTCAAGAAGATCCTTATTCCATCGGACCACGCTTGCGATATTGTTGGTTACATGGACGTATCGCTCGTGAGGCGGGATTGTTGAGGGGAGTTTAGCGAGGCGGTCGGTGATGGTAGGCCAGTGAAGTTTTGCTGTGATCATCAAAAAGAGAGGTGAGTACTAGTTGTTGGAAGATGTTTAGCAAGGTAATGTGTACTTACGCATGCTCATCTTGATGGAGGTAGTCAGTTCGAATCGAGATGGTGGTTTTGGTTGTGTTGGTGACTGACTGGATGTCCAAAAACATGTGTCAAAAAATGGAAAAGGTTTGTGCGAAACATGAGAGACGGTTTGACGTGAAATGAGAGATTGTGGAAAAGTCTATGTCGAGGTGGAATGCGCTAGTGGACGGTGGGCGTTGAACTTAGATATGCTCAAGCCACTGCCCCCAGGTGGTGCCTAAGCGTAGCCTGTGGAGGTTATTCTCATGTTTTGGTTTGAGCCATAAAAATAACTCCCTTGGGCACCCCGGGAAGGACACGAACGGCTATCAGCACCACAACACATGCCGCACCTACACGCTCCGTCCCTTTGCAAGTTGGTATTTGTCAAGACATAAATGAACTAGAGTTGATGTTGTGTAGAAGAACAAGGTCCAGGGGTTCAAACAAAGCCCCTCAAAATCTTGCACAAAACCATAGGAAGCAAAAATTTCAATCAATTCCCATCTAACAATACCAGGTATCCTATCTCCCACCCATCCCCCCCCTTTCCTCCCTCCCATTTTAACCCCCCTATTTCATAATATGCGCAAACTCCTGATAATCGATATGCCCATCCCCATCCTTATCCGCCAGCTTGATCATCTCGTCCAGCTCCGCGTCCGTGAGGTTCTCGCCCAGGGACTTGAGCACATTCCTCAGCTCGTCGCTGCTGATGGTCCCGCTCCCGTCCTTGTCAAACACCTTGAAGGCGTTGACCAGCTCCTGCTCCGTGTCCGTCTCCTTGACGCCCATCGACATGAGTGACAGGAACTCCTCAAACGAGATCACGCCGTCCTTGTTGAGGTCCGCCTCGTTGACAATGTCTTGGAGCTCCTCCGGGGAGGGGTTGAGGCCGAGTTCACGCATGACGGCGCCCAGCTCGGCAGCGGTAATGTCGCCTGTGCCGTCTTTGTCCTGGGAAGAGTCAGGGAGAGGGTAAATGGTGGTTGGTTGAGAGGGATGGATGAGGGAGGCCATCTTGGCGGGTGTGACTTGGTGATGCAGAAGAGGAGTGAGGTGTGAAAGTGAGGGAAAATCTTACAAAAATCTCAAACACCTCCTTGAACTGAGCAATCTCATCCTTGGAGAGGTTATTCCCGTGAGGTGCCTGTGCAAGTGGGCGGCGACATCGTCAGTCAGGTCTCTTTTTCATCAAGACATGAGGCAGTTGCAAAGTGGGGTGAAGGCATACCATGACGACTGAGAAGGGTGTGCACTGAACGATCTGATAACAAACTAAACGCAGAAGATAGGTAGCGATAGGTGATAACAATAACAATCTGAATGAGGAAGGTCCAAGGTTCTAGGTAATAGAGAAAAAAGTCCCAACCTTTTGATCGGGCCCTGATGAGTTTGATGCGCGCAACTGGGTTGGGCTGGGCTGTTTGATGAGGGGGAGGGGTAAAACGGTCGATAAGGATCTGGCCTACGTCTTATCGCGAAACTCCATTGCATTTGCCCCTCTGTCACATCCTCCAGTGCAGCCAATCAGCTGCGAATGTGCCACTTTCCTGCTCATTTGATGTGATGCCCGAAGCAAAGCCGAGTTTTTGTTCTCGAGGTTCAGAAGCTTCATGAAGAAAACCCTAACCCTTCTTTTGACACTGTAGCCCCCTTCGTTGCCCCTTTTTCTGTGTTGACAGGACCGTGCATTGCCAAGGTGACGGCAGAGGGCATTCCAGACTGGCTTTTGATAAAGGCGACAGGCGGACAGAAGCGTATTTGTACCAGATAGTGATTGCTTTGTTTGGCCTTGACTACTTCAAACTGCCTCGATGATGGCGACGAATGTGAGAGGCTCTCAGGTGACATGTTGAATGCCCGGCAGGCAAACTACTGCTTGGTCTCATAAAGTGCTACAGCCATCAAAGTCGTTGGTGTCCAACTAACAACACCTCTTCCTCCTAACGACCTCGACTCAGATACCCATCTGTCTTGGACGCGCTAGTTGCCTTCTCAAGCCTTGGTATCAAAGACCTTCAGGCGCACAGACCTGAGCCCTAGGTAGTGTGCAGATCACTAGATATGCATGTAAGACAATAGCGATTTTTAACATTATGCAGGATTCAAAATGTTGATCCTCATTCGGGGAAGTAGCCGGGTGGGGCCGCAACAAGAGGTTTTGTCGTCGACAACCGAACTTGAACCGCAGAGGAAGACATCATGTGATACGGAGGAATGCAAGTGACATTGGATAGGTGTGAGGGGTATCAAGAACTCAGTGAGCCCGTCTCGATTTTACAATAGTAAAGGTAAACTAATGCTCAGAATGCAAACCAAAACAGCTATGACAAAGCAAATGCAAAGCAAACAAAACAAAAATACAACACGCTCCTGTAAGCCCCCATGCTAAGCCCCCTTCCCCCAATTATCATCTCTATCCAGTCAATACCCGTATGCTCGTATATCCCAGCGACCATTCACCCATCCATCATCCATCAGTGTTGTCACGCTCTCCCACACAACGGTGTCCATGTGTTAAAGGTTAGAAACCTTGAACCCACCAGGCACCAACTTCTGGAAAACACCCTGAGGATCATACTTGGCAGCAGTAGCCTTCAGCTTGCGGATGTTCTCAGGGCCGTAGCTCTTGAGAGGGTTCTGGCTCTTATCTGCATAGTTGAGATAGGTCCACTCCTGAAGACCGCCATCAATGGTAGCGGCAAACTTCTTGACCTCCTCAACCCACGTCTTGACAAGAGGGTAAGCCTTCTTCTCCTGCTCAGGGGTCTGGACCATGGCGGTAGCAAGGAACAGAACGCCGTTAGACTTTTGGCGCTCAACACCCATGATGTTGCCACCGGCAGCAACCGAGTTCTTGCCAAAGACAGTGGGGAGGGGCTGGAAGAGACACTGGGTGGTGAAGGTCTGCTCAGGGATAAAAGCCTTGAGGTCCTCAACGAGCTTGACGTGGAGCTCGGCAGCCTTGTTGAGGATGCGAGCATCGTTCTTGAGGGAGAGGGTGAACCAAATGTCGTGGAGGTTGGCGGGGATGTTGTACTCGAATGCCATCTCAGCGATGGTGGTGTTCTTGACCGTGTTCATGATCTCGGGAAGAGCAAGCCACTCCTTGTAAGCAGCAGGCTTTTCGACACCGGCCATGTTGGCGTAGAGAGTAGCAACAACAATATCCTTGAAGTCGGGCATGTGGGTGAACATGGCGACGAGGTTGCTATCGGGGTCATTGGCAACGTTGTTGGTGAAGGAAACAACGGCGTCAACGGCCTGGGGAGCAATGTCCTTGGGAAGGAAGGCCATGCCGCCCCACACCTTGTCTGATGGGATGGCGGTCATGGTGAACTTGGTGACGATGCCGAAGTTGTTGGAGCCGCCCTTGAGGGCAACAAAGAGGTCGGGGTAGCTGGTCTTGCTGGCGGTGACAATCCGGCCGTCGGCAAGGACGACCTCATAGGCGACGACGTTATCGCAGGCGAAGCCACGGCGGGCAGTGAAGAAGGTGTTACCGCCGCCGAGCAAAAGACCGGCGACACCAACATTGCCCTCACGGCCACCGGCAACGGCACGCTTGTGCTTGATCAGCTCCGAGTAGACATCCCGCCAGCGGGAGCCAGGGCCGATATCGGCAGTCTCGGTGGCAGCATTGTAGGTGGTGGTGTTGAAGAAGCCGAGATCGATGGTGATGCCGCCGGCAATGTTGTTGGAGCCAGCCCAGTTGGTGTGACCACCGGAACGGACGGCAAATGGCTGTTTGGCGGCAGCAAGAGCCTTGACGGCAAGGGCCACCTCCTTGGTATTGCGAGGTCGGAGGATCGCAGCTGGACTCAGCCTTGCGCTGTTGGACCAATATGAAGCCTCGCGTTCAGCATATTGGGGATCTCCACGAACCAGAACTGCCTCGCCGAGTCCAGCGTCGAGGAGGCATTTGGCCTTGGAGGGGATCTGTCTTGGGGTGATGGCGGCCATGGTTGATGCTACGGAGCAGAATGAAAGTAGAAGGTGAGTGAAGTGCATCTTGAAGGAGTGTAATGGCCCACGGGGCAATAAAAACGAGTGTGTTGGTAGTGCAGGATGCTCATCCCTCCCTCAACAGTGGGCCAAGTCATTTATGTAGGGGGTTTGTTTCGCTACCGGGTTTCGGTTCAAGCCCGAGGTTTGGCTATTGATGCAAGGTACGTCGACGGCAAAGCTCCCCGGAGACTGGGGACAGCAACAGAAAGCATATCTCCCAAGACCTGGGCGTGCTGGGCCATCCCAAACACGTCGTCCCATTCTTGCGGGTGGCCAAGCGAGAGCTGCAGGAAGAGTTGAAAGTGTCGACATCTTCCGGTGCCTGCAAGAACACCACGTGGTGATTGGAGGAAGAGGGCATTATTTGCGGGGGGGAACGGAGAATATGCAACCCTCCACCGGTAATTGAAGGCGAGCAGGTTAATGATCGCCGTCTGTGGTTTCGTGTCGGCAGCTTTCTACCGACCTCGGTCTTGGACGTTGTGGCAGAAGGTGACAGCTTCCTGCAATGACACGCCTCCGTTCCATTGCGTCAAGTGGCGGTAAGCCGAAAAAGTTTGGTCGGCAACGTCCTTTTGGGCGGATGTCAAGAGAGACGGGAGACATCGCGTAGAAAGGACGTGACACCGTGTGGGGGTACGGGTGGCCGTTGATACAACGAAAGGGAAACGGACAGACACACAGACACGGGGCGGCGCGAGACGAAGGCAGTGGCTGGACCGTGTGGGGGAGCACGGAGGGGACACGGGGGGGCAATGAAGAAGCAAAGAAGCAAAGCATGAAGAACTTGTTAGTGATTTCCTGAGAAAATGCTGCAAGAGGTTGCAGGGTGGGGGGAGCAGAGTGGATTCTGGCAGCCGTTATTGTGGATATTTCTGCCACGCTTAACTTGACTTGGCCTGACTAGCCTCATCTATAGATTCAGGACCTATCAACTTCCCTGACACATCCCATGTTCCTCCCCTTTTCTTTTGTTTCGACTCCTCTTAGTCCCAACGACCACCCTGGCGACGTTGTACTGACTGTTTCCCACTCTCCCACCCCAGACCGAATGCTTTCCAAAATGCTGCGCTGATGAACTGCCGGCACAAATTTTTGCCGTTTTTCTGGCCATCAAGGTCGGTGAGGGAGTAAGGAAGATGGGCAAAATTGGCTGTTTATGTGATGTAGCTGATCGGCAATGCCCGGTTCCCACGCAAACTGACACCCAAACCGCCACGCAGAAGAAGAAAAGGGTAGCAGACACAGTCATGCATAGATAGACACGGTAGGATTGACATGAGTGACATGCCAATGTTCCTTCACAGAGTCTCCTTCGCTTCACTCCTTTTTGTTTCTTTTGTTCTCGACACTTCCTGTTGCTCGACAGTTGAATCGGATAGATAAGCGCGCGGGCGTGAACAACAGACAAAACATCGAACTCAACCCGTCCCCTTCTTCAGCCTCGACGGCACACTTACGGATTCTCGACAGTCGACGGCGCCGAATACGACAAGATGGCTATGCAACTCCCGACTGTCAATGGCGTGCCGGTGATCATGCCCCCACCGGAGGGCTATGTGGTGGACTTTGAGAACCCAGCGCGCAACAGCGTGACAGAGGCCTACTGGCTCTTTGGAGTTGGTAACTTCTTGGCTCTGATGTTCATGATGCAGCATCTCTACACTAAGGCATTCATCAGAAGGAGGTTTCAGATCGAAGATGCCTCTCTGATCATTGCCTGGGGATGCTCCATCGCGCTGCAGTCCATGATCGTTCGTATGTTGCCCAACACCCAGAAACTCATCTCCACGCATACTAACACAAGTTATCAAGGAGACTTTATGAGAGGAATCATGGGAACACACTCGTGGGAAATGCCCGTCACCAAGTTCCTCCTGTTCCTCAGAGCGCTCTACCTCCTGCCGATTCTGTACAACCCGGTTCAATGTGGCGCCAAGCTGGCACTTTTGCTGCTCTATCGAAGGCTAGCGCCACAATTGTGGTACCAGATTACCGTTTACGTCGTCATGTTCATCGTCGTCGGTTCATCGTTCGCCATCATGTTCGCCGCCATCTTCCCTTGCAACCCCGTCCAGTCAGCTTGGGACATCAGCATCCCCGGCGAGTGCATCAACCGGCCCGCTCTGTACCAGGCCACGGCTATCCTCGGTGCCATCACCGATCTGATGGTGCTGGCGGTGCCAATTCCCATCGTTGTCAGGCTTCATGTCCCCCTCAAGCACAAGATCGCTCTGATTGCTGCCTTTAGCGTCGGTGGAATGTAAGCCATCTTATTTGCCATTTCACTTCAGCTAAAAGAGCCATCCTAACCCATTATCTAGCACGTCTTTCACCTCCATCATGCGTCTCCACGCTTTGATCGTCTCCATGGGAGACATTGACCAATCCTGGGGCGGTGGCCCCGTTCTCCTCTGGATGTAAGCCTCCCCTCTTCCCCCCTATCCCCCTCCCCTAATTAACCCCCCTTTCCCAGTTTTGCCGAAGCCAACCTCTCCGTCATCTGCGGCACCCTCCCCACCATCAAGCCCTTCCTCAACCACTTCGTCCCCCGCCTCCTCGGCTCCTCCAACGCCCGCTCCGCCTACCCCGTCAACAGCGGCCTCTCCAAGTCCGGGGGCCCCCCCACCTTTGGCGGCGGCGGCGGCGGCAACCAGTCCCAATCTCAAAAGCGCGACAAGTACCAGCGCTTCGACGACGACATCATGTACCCCCTCGAGACCGTCGTCGCCGTCGAGACGGGCGATGATTATGCTTCCTCGGAGCCGATCAGGAAGAGCGAGAGCGGGTCCGAGAAGGCGATTAACCCTGGTGGTATTGTGCAGACCAAGACTGCTACTATCACTTACCAGAATGCACATGCCAGGTAGAAGGGGTTGTGGGATGGGGAATAAAAGGGGGAGTTGGATGTTGGGATGAGGAAAATATGATACCACTGGGAGGGTTGTTGGTTTTCTGGCGAAAATCATGTTTACGTTCTTTTGTTTGAAGCGATTTCTTTTTGATTATTAGACTTTTTTATTTTAGAAAATGGATGAAAATGGGGGTGGGAGGAAAACATGGAATTCCACTGGCACCACGACATTGTCTCATGCTGATGATGCTGATGATATTAGACTTTTCATGCTGCATGTAAATAGCAGTCATCTTGAAAATGAAAATGCTAGCCATTGTATTACCCAGCCACCCTGCCCACAAAGTAACTGACACAGCAAAAGTAAGTTAACCCATACTATACTGTGAACTACCTTTTGCCTCAAAAGTACATTAATAGGTCCTTAAACGATCTTTTAAGGTCTGTTAACTATCTTTGAAGCCTTTCAAACTATCTTTAAAGACCTATGACTATCCTTTAAGGTATGTTAACCTACTTTGGTGTCTCAAATATTTTGTGGCAAAGGTGCCAACATCAAAAAAGTCAAAATCGCCGGCGATCTGGGCCCAAAAGAATAGGCGAAAGGATGAGGTCGTACCCGGACTCGAACCGGGGTTGCCGGAATCAGAATCCGGAGTGATAACCGCTACACTATACAACCGTGCGTCATTTGTTGCGTGATTGGTTCGTCAAGCTGTTGGCTTAATAAGCGGCATGTGTCGAGTGGCCAGCTTGGCATTTCGTAGCTTCCCCCTTTTTGACCGAGGGACTTTTGGTGAAGGCAAAATTCCTTCCATGATACGCGCTTGAAACATGTGATATGATGCAACGTCGTCTGGATGTTGCAGAGGATGGGCTGGGATTGCAGTAACAGACCTTTGGTGCGTGGTGTTTGTGAGGGCTACGAGTGATACCTGAACACACCCATTCTGCTCATCATGAATTCGGGTTATGCCGATGTTATTTGGTAAGGGATCAGCTTAATATTGACATGGCGAACTAGGAATACGATCCCGCGGCCAGGCCTCTGATTGAGGTAGCCGCGGTACATTTTGTACAGTTTGTGTGCTGGGAGTTCTACGCCGATGGAGTTGACTCTTCAGCATGGTTTTGCAAATTCAAGGCTGACAAGCACCTTTTCCCCAACTTTGACTTGTGGTGATTCGCCAATGTATCCTGGCGTGCAAACTTCTTGCCACACCCTTGGCACGGAACATGGCTCCCTTCATCATGGCCTTGCCGATGTCTCTTCAAGTCGCTTTCCCGCGCAAAGGCTTTGGTGCAGAGGTCGCACTTCCAAGGCCGGTCCTCGCTATGAGTTAAAAGATGTGAGTCGAGGTTGAATTTGCGGTTATAGACTTTGTAGCAAAACCAGCATATGTACTCAATCTTTTGTCTTTTATTACTCTGCTGCCGTTGATGTCCTATCACTTCGCGAGCGACATTATCAGATGCTGGGTCTTGGGCTTCAGGTGCTTCAGTTGTTGTCGTTTCCGCCACGGTAGGCTCTTGAATTACCAAACCTGTCTGATTGCCGGAGTTGGTTATGGATAACTGTGGCTGGAGACTCCGATATACTTCATCGTTGTCTGGAAACTCGTCGTGAGACTGATACCCGCCATGAGATTCCTTCATGTGCTTTTGTAGCTCTTTCTCCGACGCCATACCGGTGGTTCCACTCAAACAACCCTCAATGGCACATCGAAAAGGCCTCTGGTGCTTTCCAAGGTGTTGGTTCCGTCGCTCAGCGGTTGCAAACCCGTTCGTGAAGAATTTGCAGCTGAGCCTGGGACATTTGAAGAGGTTAGAACCATAGTGCTTTTCAAGCTTGGCTGCCACCCCATCCCCGTTCTGGATCCCTAGCAGCAGCCTTTCAAGTGCAGCTCGAATACTCTCCACAATGTCCACAAGGTCGAGGGCAATCTCGGCTTTGTTCATCTCACCGTAGAATGTAAGCTGCTTTCGTGTCGATATGACTGCCTGCTGCAGTCGGTCATGACAATCCAGATCCTCAAAGCAGCGAAGTCTTGCAGCGTTTCCTTGTGAGACGGGAAAGTGAGTGGCTGGATTGATGTAGTGAAGCTCAATAAAATCTTCTAGGGTCTCGGAAATATCGCGCGCATCGGTACCGTCTTTTTCCAGAGATGCCAAACTAGCCTCAAGATGCCGCACCCAGTAAACAATGGCATAGTCCATGAACGCGTAGGACCCATTAAGGATGAGACAATGCTTCTCTTTGGGTTCAAGCTCATCGTTGAAGATAGGAAAGTTGAGATAATTGACGCACAGAGAAGCTAGTTGCAATTCTCCTCGCGCTGGGTTGACATGTTTTTCACTGATAAGAAAGCTTGAACAAGGTTAGAAGCATGAGTGGTAAGACGGAATGGGGACATAGGGATCTTACAGTTTAGCGGTCAGATGAACAAGTTCTACCGTCCCGTCGGACCGGATTTCAACGAGCGATCCGCAAAGATCTTTTGAGTCAACGCGAAACCGCAAGCGTTGGAAATCTACCGACTTTGTTTCCAAGTCAATGGACTTCACGCCCTGGATCTCATGCCACTTCATGGACCGTTTGGCGCAAACCAGCCAGCTCAGTAGCATCCTACTCCCGTGCTGTTCCGACTCGGTCACATGGTCGAATATTCTCACGATAATTCGAGAGTAACTGTAAACAGAAATCAGACGTCAGCAATTACTTGTCCCGCGCTTTCAACTTGAAGGTTAGGAGTCTTACGCAGCATTGATCTCGCGCGGGAATCGTCCTGGTTCAAGCTCATATTCCAACTCCTCGACATCAAGTTGATGAAGAAGGTTGGTGGAAATTAACTTGGCAAGTAGAAACATGCCTTAGATGGTGAGTTAGCGATTGGACTTTGGCGTTGAATACTGTACTCACCTCCGGCAGCGTCAACAATGAGCTTTGCGATCGATTCTCGCTTGGTGTCGGGAAGCTCAAATTTCTTCTGGATGTCGATCGCCCACTTGGCGCTGTATTGTTCAATGTCGCGCAGGTTGTCCTGGCTTCGAATTTTGATCACAGAAACACCCGCAAAGTCCTTTCGTGCTACCCCATCTTCTTGGCTCACAAACAGACATCGAATTTGTGTGGGATTACTCTGTGGAAGGTCCTCAACAAGTTCGCGAAACCAGGAGGCTATGATGTCGCGTTCTTTCCTCGGGCACTCATCAATCCCGTCCAGGATGATGTACACGTGCGGGAAATTTCGAATGGGCACCTTGAGTAAATCTTCGATGATGCTTCGGGTGTCCAGGACTGCCTCCGTGCTACTCTGATATTTATCGTGATAGTATGGAAGCAGTATATCTCGATTATACGGAAGAAGTTGAGAGAGGAAGCTGCGCGCGATGGAGACAAAATTGTCTCGTTCGTTGTCGCCATGTTTGCAAAAGAAGTACAAGACGGCCGGAGGGGGGTTGAGCTGCTGGGCCTTTTCGACAACTAAAGAAGCGAGAATTGTCTTGCCTTTTGAAGAAGTCAGCAGCGTAAGGCAAATGATGGCTCCTTTTCTGACACTGACCTGCACCTGGAATACCATTGAGCCACAACACTGGAGGCATCAGCTGACAGGGTGTTTCAAACCACTCTTTGAACTTTGGATTATCCAGTAACCATGATCCTGTACCTGGGTATTCGCCTCGAAGCTTGCAGAACTCATGTTGGTCATTGGCAACATTGCTGGCCCTCAGCCACCCCTGCAACTCGCGAAGCTTTCTGTTGCTCTCGGCATCAGCCATCTCCTTGAGCTGTTGGTCTCTGACTTTTCGCTCATCCAAACATGCCTTGATAGACAGGCTGGCCTGGTTAACAGCGCCGGCGATCTGGCTGAATTGCTGGTCTATGTTGCGTCTGTCGTCTAAGGATGCCTTGATACGTAACAAATTGGCGTGATAAACAATTAGTTCCCTGTGCCTCTTGATGCCGTTGATCAGATCGTCGAACCGAGACTTGTAAGTTTTCCAGGTCGCCTGAAATAGCTGCTTCAACACTGAATGGGTTTGGCATTGTTAGTGCACAACCATAGAACCCCAGGTAGAAGATAGACGCTTTGTGGGCGGAGTAAGAAATGAACGCATACTCGGCTGCTGGAAGTACTTCAACGCCCGGTGATGAAACTCCAGGACGTCCTTGTAGAGATAGGCCAGGACCCTCTTCATGTCTGAATCCTTCGAGAAAATGGCTTCGTACTGTTGGACAAGCGGCAGCTCCTCTCCAAGACTCTCATAGATACTAAGGAGCTCAGTGAATGCTTCCACAAAGGAGCTACCAATCTATTTCCCCGTCAGCAAGACGAACAAAGACCAAGGATAGATTGCTAGAACCTGAATCAAGAACTTCAATGGTCCCTGGGTACCTGAGATATTAGCAGGCCAATTGAGTCGGTCGCAGATCTCATGCAATCTCACCCAGACAAAAGCGACAAATTCTGATGTGTTTGTAAACGTCTCAACGACCTTGCCCAATTGATTAAGCGCTTCAAGAGTGGGCTTCAATCGTCCAACGGCTTGAAGTCGTCGACTGGAGTGCTGCTCCTTCTGAATTTTGTCAATTGCTGCAAGAAGATCGGGAAGCGTGGTTGTTTGGAATGTCGATCGATGCTTTGGTCGTAGCCCCTTCTTGAACTGCTCAAGCGCCTGTTCAAACGGAGCTCCCGGATGAACATCATTCGCTCCAAGCCCTGCCACGGCCATCGTGACAGCCGTGGCCTTAGCCAATGACGCCGCCATCCTGATTGCTGAGGGTGCTGTGGCTTGATCTTGATTCTGACGGCAATTGTCTGCAAGAGTTTAAAATGAAAGAAAGCTACCCGAAGGTACTTGCTTCTTTTCAGACAACATTGCAGTGGTCCGCGCTTCATATCAGTTGCCTTGCGGCTTGCCAGCAAGCGGGACTGCCAAGCTGCCTGTTGAGGCAGTGTTCAGCTGATTGCCCCAGCCACACATCACAACTCACCATCCAACCAAGATTCAGCACTTCACATCGTTATACCATCTCGTCGCTCCTGCCAACAATCTTTGTTGTTGTCAAAATGTTTCCTACCAAGAGGCCGTATCCGTTCGCAAATGACCATCAAGACACGGAGCCTGACGCAGTTTGGCAATGTGATCAGTCTCATGCGATACGCCAACACATTGAACCACAGTACGATCCTTTGCTCGACGGGCAATATGATGGCGACGCATATCCACACACGAGCTATCAGCCGGCCGGGAAGTCACCTGAACTGTGGGATACCACCGCTGCACACCTCAATCTCGAGGCTAATGTCGTGATCAGCACCACAACGCATACTGTCGATGAAGCAGATATTTGCTTTGGAAGTGTATAAAGCCACTATTGTATGAGTGCAAACCAGGAATGCTCACATTTTCCAGATACCAGACTTGAAGGCTCAACTGCGGACACAACCTCCTATCCGTTATGATGCCACCTTCTCACCATTCCAGTGTTTTGATATTCTTGAGCAAGGCGCCTTTTATGCGCTCGACTTTCAGGGGTTGAAGTTTGCCGTTCTAAACAAGAAAGTGTGTCAACACTTTCGAGCCTTTTCCCGCGACGTAGAATTACGTCTGCAGGCCTTCATCTCATATGAGGAGTGGGTGAGGATGATGCGTCGCTGGGAGCGAGAAAGGATGTCGGCCGTCGTCAACTTTGATCTCAACATATACGGTCGCCGACGACATGCAGCTGATGTTGGTAGAGTTCTGTCCAAGGCGCAACTTTTCCTGCAACAACCACAGTTCGGGCTTGACGGCTTTACTTACTACAATCCTCATTATCTTCATTTAGAAGAGGTTCTCGGGAAAGAGGTTTCTGAGACCCCCATCGCCCTTCACAACAGCCAGTCTCACAATTCGCACTCCCCAGCAAACGACCCAATTAAAAGAGTGATGCAAAACGAGGTCGAGCCCACCAACGATACTGCGGAGATCAATAGCATTCTCAACTCTTTATCATATCATAGCATCCTTGCTAAGTCTGTGGCAGACAGAAGCATCATCAGAACGACCCTGCTCGAGTGTGTTGTCTCCTTTGAATGCTTGAAAGGTCAATTACTAATACATGTAATACAGCCACCAGGCCGAAGCTCTTGATTTTATTCTTAGACGCGAGACTGGAGACCTTCCCGCCGAGATGAGTCTCTGGGAGAAGTGTCAGGATGATGATTCGGACTTGGAGGAGTGCTTGTATGCGGCTCCTTTACGCTATTACCGGCATCGGGATACTGACGTTGTCCCAGATATCAGCACATAATTACGGGTGGGAGGTCCAAAGAGGCGAGGGATGTACAAGGGGGAATTATCGCAGATGACATGGGTCTTGGAAAAACTCTAGTGGTCCTGTCGACGATTGCAGGATCTATGGGCCGCGCGAGCGCATTCCTTTCTCAAGGCAAAAATCCCGGGCAGAGGTCTGCAGCCGTGGTGGCATCAAGATCAACCCTAGTCGTTTGCCCGTCTTCACGTAAGCAAAGAATACCGCGCCCCGCCTGCGACATGAACCTAACATGCTTCTAGTGCTTATAGACAGTTGGATTGATGAAATTCGGAAGTGAGTGATGAGATTGTCACAACAAGAATGTCTGTCTGGAACTGACATGTCCTAGACACACTTACCCCGGCTATATTACGTGGCACAAGCACCACGGTCAGGGAAGACAGGACGACAGAAGCCGAAAACAACTGCTGGAAAACGATGTTGTATTGACTACATATGCAACTGTTGCTGCTGAGCTACGTAAAGGGCAGGCTGTTTTGCGTTTCATTGACTGGTTTAGGATCGTGCTAGATGAAGGTGTGTCAACCATCTCCACGCTTGACCTTGTGTTTGCTGACCTGGGTTGTCCACAGCCCATGAGATTCGAAATCCGTCAACAAAGCAACACCAAGCCACAGCTGAGCTACGTGCTCAACATCGATGGTGTCTAACAGGGACACCTATCCAGAACGCAGTCGATGATCTCGGGGCTCTGGTATCCTTTCTCAGGGTGCCCAGCGTCGAAAACCCAGCAACGTTTCGAAAGTATATTGCTAACTTATCCACAGCCAAGTCACGGGAGCGGTTCAAGAATCTCCGTGTGCTTTTGGGAAGCATTTGTCTGAGGCGAACCAGAGATATTCTCGGGTTGCCAGATCCAGAGCCGAAACTGAGAGGTGTTGAGCTCACTCCAGCAGAACGCCAGGAGTACAAAAATATAGAACAACAATGCCGACGTGAGATTGATAGGGCAGTGAGTGGACATGGGCGAGGAAAGCTGAACTCAACAGTTCTGGAATCACTGCTCAAACTTCGACTTTTTTGCAACAACGGAATCCCCAAGCGAGAGTCGGGGACGGCCTCGCCAATGCCCCAAATGGATATGGACGAAGTGCTTAGTTACCTACAGCAGAACAACGAGGCAGATTGTTCTTTTTGTTTTAGGCAAGTATATTCCATCAACGACAGGCCTGATACCGACGGAGGCCTACTTCTCCCGGATTGTCTGCACCTTGTCTGTCGCGCCTGTATGCCGCAATACCACGCCGCAGACAGCCAATGTCCCCTTCACCCTGTCGGACAAGTCCAGCATTCTCTTCCTCTTGGCAATACTAGTCATACAACTCCAAAAATACCTACTCAATACCCCTCGAAGCTCCTGGCTCTCTTGAAGGATATCTCCATGCACTTATCGCAGAAGAGGTACGGATGACCTAAGCTGTCCCATGCAGAAAAAACATCCAAGTGCTGACCCTCTAATAACCCAGCATTATTTTCTCATCTTGGAAAAAAACCCTGAACCTAATATCAGAGCTTCTGACAAGCTATCGCATTCCGTTCTACTGTATCCATGGCTCACTGTCGCTCGGTGAGCGGATCCGCATTCTGAAAGATTTTCGATCTTCATCTGGCGCAAACGTCCTCCTGATGACACTGGGAACAGGGGCAGTCGGGTGGGCAGAGCAGTCCTACATTCCCAAGCACTGCAAAACTAATACCTCTTTCTCGCAGACTCAATCTCGCCGTCGCAAGTCGTATCTATCTCATGGAGCCACAGTGGAACCCCTCCGTTGAACTCCAGGCCATTGGCAGAGCTTTACGTCTGGGGCAAACAGAACAGGTGGCAATAGTACGATATATCGTGAAGCACACCATTGAAGATGTAAGTACACCCCAACATCTTCCTGGGGCATGGATCGCAGAAGGAAAATCCCTGACATGGTATGTGTTCTCAGAGCAATGTTCTCTCTAGACAAGAGGCAAAACTTCAACTAGCCAGTGGAGGCTTTGGAAAGCGCAGGCGTGGGATTAGAGCGGAACAGCTCGACTCGCTTCTGGTATATCTCTCCTACCTCACCCGCCTCTATGGGTGGATGTTATGAAGAAATGCTAACAGGAAAATAGGGGTTATTTGGGGTCGAAAAGCGTGGATAAACGCGGGTCTTAAGGCGCCATCTGAAGGGGTATCACGTAGTCGCCTTGAACGGCCCTTCTCTTTCTTTGTTTGCTCCTCTTTCACAATACGACTTTAGCTTTCTCTTATGACTAGCGCAAATAGAGTACCTGAGCATTGTTTCAAGCTGTCGCTACACCCTCATTAGCTATCACATTGATCTGACTTGGTAAATTGGATCCCATAAATATGTATCCCGAGTCTACGGTGAGCAAACCCGAAATCAAGCCATGCGCGCGCTGGATGACGGCTCTGCCGATTTTACCTCAAACTCACCGAGGTTAGGTAAAAAAAGAATTGAAAAGAAAGGAGCAGATGTCAACACTTGATTGTTTTGTGAAAAGCCAGAAAGTATTATGACTCTCGCCAGGAGAGCAATCATTGTGCTATGAGCCCTTCTGCATGCGTCTTCATGCAAAACTAAAGCGGTGGGCTGCAGGCCAATACCTAGGTCAGAGGTGGCTGCATTTGCATGTTGTTTTCTTGCTCAACAAGCCTTGAGTCCCTAATCAATCTACCGAGTAGGGATCTAGTAAGTCTTGATCAAGGTCCTAGATGCCCATGTGTGGGCTGCCGAACCAATGAGGTGACTACCAAAGACTACGTGGCTATATTTCCCTTTCGTTTCTGAGGATCGACAAGATCTGCAAAACATCACGCTGAGCCGTAATATGTTTCCCCAACTACGGTGGCGGTGTTTCGAAGTCAATACAGCATTGACACTTGTCAGAAGACAGGACAATGTCATCTTCTGGTCGCTTGTTATCCTCATCAAACATACAGACTGTGAGACAGCCAATACATGCTGAACCTTTGTGCCTTAATATGGACTGTTTCATCAACCATCAAAGACCTTCCAATTACCGAAAGGTGCATGCATGTCTTGTCTTCCGAAGAGCGTTAGCCATTCTTGTGCACTTGTTCAGGGAGCAACAGGAATTTCCGTCTCCAGCATGCAAGGCTTTCTTCAAGACGTTGCCAAGATATGCAGCAGGGTGGTGTTAACAAGTTTTTCACCCCAGGACGCGTCATGCGCATACGAGTAACCAATGGAATGGAGAGGTGGATGAGGACTGGCCATTTTTCATCCTTGACTTGGAGTGGCGGAGCTATCGGAGTGGCGGAGCTCTGTGAGCCGTGATTTTCGAGGCAGAATTCATCTCTCAAGTCCACGGCTGGCAAAAAAACACAGCACAGTGGGTAAAGAATCTGCCTCGGCTATCTTCCAAGTCCGGAGCCTGTCAGTTCTGTCCCCCCAACTTCTAGCAGTTCAGTGAAGCATGGTTCTGATCAAGTCGCTATCACCTTTCAAATCAGGGTAAATGATGGCACTTGGCCATATGTTAACACCGCCTATTCCAAGGGCTTAGAGTACCGCAGTACCAGAAGACTACGGCTCAGCGACCCCTCAAAGTTTGGAGCTCTCGAAGTCGGAAACAGTGAAATCCCTTGCTTTTCATTGGGTAGCCAAACCTGCAGTGATGGCGGTGTGTTTCGCGTCAAACTGCGTCCTGTACCACTTAACCAATGAAAGTCCAAAAAGATCAGAGGAAGGCATACTTTTCTTTTCATCTTACCCCTCCAAAAGCTGCACGGCTGAGCCGTAAATTTTGCCCGCCGCATGTTGAGTCACGTTGGTAGCCGGCACCTGTTAAAATTACCACGCGGGACGTCTTCAAATCGTTGCTCAAGGGGAAGGTACATTTTGTGGTTGCAATATTTTAAAGTACTGCTTGCATCATTCAAGCTGGCCGTGTTCTAATAATTGAGACCGTTTTGGAAATGATGGATGGAAGCTTCAGAGGGAAGCCGATGTCATGGAAGGCTTTATCGAACTTGGTTTAAAGAGCGGTGGCAGTCATCTACCTACCTTGAGCTTAGGGTTCTTTCTTCGTAGAACTCCATGATTTTGGGGGGGGGGATACGGCTCAGCAACCGACACTTGCATGAACACTGAAACGAAAAGTGGCGGAGTCATAAGACTTGTCGCTGCTAATTGGCCAAGACTCACTTCGGCTCAGGCATCAACCGATGCAGTCCCTTGGTGCCATCGAGCGGAGATCTGTTTTGAGGACATTGTGCAGGGCACATAGCCAGTTAGATATCAGCCAACCTATGCACAGTGTGTTGTGTTGGTTCATCCGGTGGCCTAAACACACTATATTAGCTGAGCCGTTATTTTCACTGGCCAATCACTTCGAAGTAGATGCAGACACCCTGAGTGCTTACCTCTCTCTTCTTAACGTGGCCCGCTCACCTTGTGGGAAGATTAATTTGGAAGCGCCATTCAAGCCTGACCACAACATGAAAGCCCAAGTTAAACGTAACGTATATTATAAGCGAGTGACCCATATAAGCGAGTGACCCACCTCCCACCACACCCTGACAAACCATCCTCAATTGCACCACATCAACACAAGGAATTAACTATAATTACATCAGAAACAGCTGAATCAGATGCTTCTGCAGCCTCCTGGCAAGTACGCGCATTATAGCCAGGCTTACCGCATACACCACAGTACCGAACCTTCGTACGAGCCCCCCCTACATTACTACTATCCGGCTACGTTTCTTACATTCCCTCTCCATCCACGGCCTTCTAATCCAGTAAATCCTGTGCCTCTTGTATAGTAAGCTGACCCTCCAAGCCTGTATACGTGTTTTTTTAGCTCTCCGGCGCTTACTTAGTACCTTATTAGCCTTACGGAGTAAAGAGATCTCTATACGAAGGAGAGCTACTTAATATATTATAATTATTATACCTTTAGTAAGTTAATTTACTGTAATTAATATTAAAGTTAAAGAATTATTTTAATAATTAATAATACGAATTTTAATAAACGTTAATTATAAATTAATTTTTCGAGGGTTATATAGTATTTGGGAAACCTAAGGTTATATAGTACCGGGCCGTAAGTTTAAAGGTATTAACGTATAAAATTTTATATTTAATTTAAAAAGTATTTTTTTTAAATCGTATAGTATAAGGTTAGTACCCGCAAAACTATTTTATATATTCTTCTTTATTATAAAAGTAAAAAAAGTTTCGCGGAAAATATAAAAGAATTTAAATTTACTTATATAATTAATATATATATATATTAAATCCTTAATTTAATGACCGTATATTTATTTTAGCGGCCTAAAAATAATTAATATCGAATAGTTAAAGGGAGGTAGGAGAAGTATAGAGGGTATATAGAGCGTAAATAATATTATTTTATTAAAATAATAGTACCCTCGAATTCGATTAAAGTAATAACTTTTCGTAATTATCGAGGATTAGTAATTAATATTTATTTTTTATACGGAACGCTATATAATAATCGAAATACTTAATTTAATTTAAACTTACCGGATTAATAATTTAATTATTATTAATAATTATAATATATTAAGTAAATAGTAAATTATATTTAATATATTAATTAACGAAATAATATTACGCGGCTAAAATAATAAAAAGAAAGATAGCCTAACCGAGGGTATTAATTCCTTAGATTATCGTTATTTATTCGCGGTTATTAAACTAAATTAATTTTATTTTATTAAAGCCGTTCGAAGTTATAATTATTATATTTACGAAAATAATATTTATTATAAACTTAATTTTATTAAAGTTATAAATATTATTATTTATAATACTATATTTAGTTTTAATATTTTATACGAACGTAAATTATTCGGTAATAACCTTTAGATCTTCGCACTTAGCCCTCTAGTAATTATATTTATATATAAAATACGTACGGAACTATAGTTAACGTTTAATAAAGTTATATACTTAAAGTTTATTAATAGGGTACGCGTCGCGTACGCGTAGTAGTTAGTTAACTATATTTTCTACACTACGTAATCTTGGTAAAAAAGCTTGCGTATATAGCTTAATAACGTATTAAATAATAGTATCCTCTTTAAATTAAGTAAGCTTTTTCGATTTGGGCATAGTATTGCGTCGTGCAGGCCGGCTAGCGCGCCGACGCCTTAGAGTCTTACGATCGACTCTATAGATCTTAGTTGCGGCTCGTTCGCTTAGATTCTTATCGTTTTGAAGCGCTTGGAGGGCTAAGATTATGTGGGCTTTATTTGAATTAGAAGGCATCTTGGATGGTTAAGGAAATTGTTGTTGAGTGCGAAGGTGTTATGTCACGAAGGAAGTGGGTCACTCGCTTATATAGGTTACTCGCTTATAATATACGTTATTTCATTCAATAAACTGATTATTGGACATTCTTGATATTGTTCTCGACGACCCGGGCAGGGAGACCTAATTTCAAGTAATTTATCAACTATTTAGGAACATCTCAAGGCTACGGCAGCTGCTATCTCTGGTGACTCCCACTTGTACGTCTTCATATTGCACCGATGGGGAGTTTTACCGTTTGTGAATCAAACCCACCCGCATATGGATATTACGTCTCAGCGGACAAAACTGCACCACACCAAGCCGCCAGTTTGAAATGGAAAAACAGGCCAAGGCTCTAGCATGTCAATGTTTATTGGCCACAATGCTCGGGGTGAAAGAGAATTCCTCACGTTCCTGCATGGTGACGTCGACTTGGGATTTTGCTCTAATAAAAAAACACGGCTGATAGGTCAGTTTCTGGTTACGTGTCACGGCATGATGCACTGTCACTCTCTCTATAAAATAATTGAGACACTCAGAGTAAGTTAGCCCCTATAGGTTGTAAACTATACCTGAAGAGCAAGATTAATAGGCCTTTTCAATATCTCCGGACGCCTTTTAATTATCATCAGAGACCTATTAACTATCTTTAAAAGGATACTGATTATCTCATAAGGTAAGGTTTATAATAATATAATATGGGTAAACCTACTCGGGTGTTATTTCTTTTGTGGACAGGGTGACTGCTAGATGCATGCTAAGCCAGTAAGAGAAGCAGGAATGTGAAGCTGCTCTCTCTTGGTTCTTCACTAGGTTCTTGAATCAGCAGGGGATTTGTTGGCTAATCGGAAGCGACCGATGGTCCAATATTCGAAATCATCCTGACTGGCCTGGCTTTTGTAATGATCGGCCTACCCAACGACCTTCTGAACTGGCCATTTTTCGTTCTCAAATTTATCCCACTCGAACATGGGCATAACGCGTTACGGCTCAGCACTACTATAGCGCAATGCGGCTCTTTTGTCTTCAGAAAAAAAGGCTGGCCACGGCTCTAGTATACTATAGTTGATTGGTTTACGCTCCCGCAATGTGTAATAACCTGCAGGTCGTGCAGACAGGAATGACATGCAAAGATGCGAGGGACGAGATCGTTTGCCTCACTTTTCTGCTTGGATAATGACAGCGGCTGATTGAATGTAACAGGCACGTTGGAGACAAGATCATTCCGCCCACGTTATTAGAGCACTACTTGGGCACATCCCTCATTTACATCTGTCTTTGTCTAACCCAGCTCTGATGTGTATATTCTCATATTCTTGAGGTTTATTTTCCTCGAAGACAATGCTTTGCCTAGGAGACTGAAGAAGGCAGAGCTGACTAATGGTATCTAAGGGCTGGAGCATCACCCGGGTAGACTTCGTATTTGGGGGTTGGTCTTCAAGGTGGGAATAGCTTCATTTTTAATGGCAGCGAGATCTTGCAAGGTAAATTTCTGCAAGTTCTGGTTTAGACTAGCTGCTAGAAAAGTGCAAAAGTATGAAAGTGGCTATATTCTCTATCGTGGTAATATGTAGCCAGGGGTCTATTCTGAGCAAGCAAAAGTGTCACCAGAGCATGTGTTTTTAACTCGACTGGGATATTACGGCTCAGCACTTGACCCTCAAAAGAAAGATATGGGCACAATCTTAGATCGGGCATAGGCGGAAACGTAGAGTTTGCGGCTGTTTAGGTTCATAGCCAGAAAGCCTGCCATATAATTGAGCGGTTACCTGATTCTTCAATCAACATGTTTAGGTAGGCAAGGCAGTAAGATTAGGGATCCAGGGTCTTTTTTGCCTTACTCATCGCCTTTTTGTCATTGCCAAATTTCCCAGACGATGTCATACCCAATGACGGTAACATCCAGGCTAAAAATGCAGCGACGTTGACAGTGACATGAAGCGCCGTTACTCGTTCAAAGAGTAAATAAGGGACACTAGCTGCAGCAAATGAAACTCACTCGATTACCTCACTCAACGACATATATGATACTCAAAGGCGCACCGAATATACAAATAGTAATGGCAGATGCAGGCCTCGTCTACGAGATGGTGCGGCTCGCCTTTATTTGGATACATCATAACTCTATGTTATAGGGAATCGACTGAAACGAGCAGACAATAAAGCAATGTAGTTACAAAAATACCAGGTTTCTTGGCTCTTGCTTAGATAGCCGGATCCATTTGGGCTTCTTGAAGGATCTGCCGCATCTGAAAATATGGCCCTGTGTCCTCTCTCTCCCACCTTCCACGATTTGGAAAGACAACTTTCCGTAACCGGTCGACCCAACGTATCAGTGGCCGATAATAAGTAGTAAAATACTCGTTAGCGATCCTGAGGAAGTCCCCCTCGTGGCTTACTAGCCCTGTCTTCTGAATCGCTAACCCCTTTATGTCCATGTAATTCCGTGAGTTGAACCATGCGTTAACTCTATGCTCGTGCGGCCCTTCATGGTCAATGCATATCCACCACAACACCCAAAAGAATGACTCGAGATCGTGCATGAAAGAATGCTGCTCGCCTAGAAGTGCCCCGATTGCCATGAATGCCTTCGTGCTTGTCTTCGTATTGGCACCGGACGCACCCTCTCGTTCCCCGTTAATGGCAAGATCCAGGTTAATTAAAAAGAAAGGCCAGGAGGGATTATTGATATCCTCGTTGATCAGGAGGTTATTGATAGAGATGTCTCTGTGTAGGATGCCGGCCTTACGTAGTGATTCGTGCTCTTCAATGCAGCCTTCAAGTACGGCAAGCAGAGACCTTCGGGAGTTAGTCCTGTAGATAGGAGTTCCATAGTCGCGAATAATGACACGATGATGCACCCGATTTGACAGATTACCGCTAGCTTGAGATGCCGAGCAAGACCGCTTGCTGTGTGGCAGAGGGGCGCCGGCTTCACTGGACGATCGTTTCTTACCAGCAGCCACGCTGCTGCTGCGCAGTTTTCGCAAAACTGAGGCCCGGGGGGTTGACTGTTTCTGCTGGTAAGTCTTGGCGCTGGTGAAGTCTAGTCCTCCTCGGACGTTATGTCGGGCGTCGTCATCCGTTCCACATATCTGAACCGTTTCGTGGTAATAATACCTGGCAACGTTGATGACGTTGACTGGTCGCCCCGCGTCATAATTCACCTTCATCAACGCGTTCCGGATACTGCCATGAATCTTTAATGACGAGCGGTATATATGACTGCCCTTGGGCATGAGCTTTCCAGCATGTTGTAGCCTGACCGGCAACCTAACGTGCTCGTTGCATCAACTTATAAATGATGAGCCGTTCCTTCGAGCCGTTCCGCTCGATCACGATGAATCGCTGGCCGTTAGCCGTTATAAATGTTAGATCGAAGCCAAGCTCCTCTTTATTCATCTAGAGAAACCCGAGGGCCGTAAATACAAAGCGCCACCCATCTTCGTTAATATTAAACCTCTCCGATACACTAGCGCCAAGCCGATCAAACTCCCATATCCTCATAAAAGATCCGCAAATAGTAAAGCCTAAAATAAAACGACCGGTGTCTTGAGCAGCGAAGACTTCCTTCGTATACGTGGCAAGGTCTATAGACCTTGCCCCGCCTGAGCCGCTATATCGGCGTCTGGGTTGCTTTCAGCTCGCCTGGTACCAGGATTTGTAACCAGTGGTATTGTGAGTCCTTCCCGGCCTTTGGGTCATCCACGAAGCCGATGTCTAACTTGCGTATCGCAGTGGAGCCCGGGATTGGCTTGTCGGGTTGTGCTAGTGGCCTTCGTCGATGTGTCGGGATAGACATGTAATCTTCTGCAAGCCTCGCCAGCTTCTCACTTAGCTCTGCAAACCAGCTTAAAACATCGTCCAGGTTTATATCTCTCGGCCATCCGCTCCACCCATTACTTAAAAGTAGTTCGTCGCCCTCCTTACACTTCTTGAAGACGGCCTCGGATGCTGCCTTAAGATCTAGCACCCGTCCGAAATATGTTTCGTGGAATTGAGGGAGCCCGACGTAGATGACGCCTAATTCATCTCTGAGGACTCTATCTACATCTTTGCAGTATTTAGACGAGTTTACTAAGCTGCATGTACTATGACGCCACGGGGTTTACAGAAGGGAGGAGGCTGTAGGCCGGGCGCTGAGGTGAGGGCCTGTGGGGCAAAGCGTACATCCAACCTGCCCAGGGCCCAGTTCAACAGGGCAATCAACCTATCTGCTTGCCAACTAACGCACTACGCACCTGCCTATCAAGGTGCCCAGGGCTTTACTGGCACTCTCACTGGCACCTACGACGGCACCTACACCTATCAGCCTACCTGCCCTAGGCCCTCTCAACAGCTCTCACACCATGGCTTGCGACAGCTATCAACTCACCTGCCCTGGCGTGCCTGGATCCTCTGAACGGCTCGCGCAACTGTGGCTGTTGATCGTCGATGTTAACTGCGGTTGACCGTAGCTGTTGTGCTTGGCATACTCCATAACGCTAGACTTAAGTGCGGCCTCCTGGCATCCGAAAGAGGAAATCGAAAAGGTGGGCTCGGATTTTGCTTGTCTCGCGATCAGGAAATTGGAAGCATCCACAAATTCTTGTGGACCTCCGTAAACTACGGTACAAAAGTTTATGCGTGCCAAATGATGAATGGCAAATATGTACTTCTTATTCTCATATCCACAGTCTCGCTCTCCCCAGAAGTTCTGCACAAAAGCACAATATTAACAACCTTTTCTTCCCTCTCCTCTCCTCCACCTCCCCATCAACTTGTCTCCCCAAAGTCTATAGTCTATGCATCTATGTACATCGTCGTAAATATCTATCATAAAGCGAGTGGTATGAGCCCCAGCGTCATCAACTGTTGTATGCGTTCCCAACTAGTTCCAGTATTCCCAATGTGTGTGTGTCCGTCATAAGGCATGCAAAATATTAAGTAAAGATCGTGTCGTTTCATCAAAAATCATAACCAAAGAAATCTTCCTCTTCTTTCCCTCAACTCCTGTGTTCTTCATTCAGATCGTAAACCACCCCTAGATCGTGAGCCAAGGAAGAATCTTGGTAGCGGGCTCCTCGAGGACAACCTTGCAAGTGGGGAGCTGAAGACCCTGGTCCTCATAGGTGATCTCACCAGTGGTGGCGTTGGAGGTGATCCAGCGTCTGTTCTGGAGATCACCCTCCTGGGCGCGGTCGTGGAAGTTCTGGGGAGCGAACACTATGCTGGAGACGGCCTCGGAGTAGAGGGTGACGGGGATATCCTCAGAGCGGGTGTAGTGGTGCATGCCGAGGTTGAACCAGACAACAATGTCCTCACCATCGACGCTCTCGTCGTTGAAGAGCTTGGAGAAGTCCTGCTGGGGCTTGAGGGGCAGGTTAACGTTCTGCCACGAGTTGCCATAGGGCTCGTTGTCGTGGTGCTGGGTGACGGCGAGGTGAGACTTGAGGATGTGGGAGGAGTGCTTGGAGAAGGGGGAGTTGTGGGTGCTGAGGTGGACGTTGCTGCGGCCGGGCACGAGGCGGTAACCGCGGGAGACACCCCAGGAGTTCTTCTCCTCGTCGTTGACGACGCAGAACATGCTCTGGCCGTTCTGGGCCCAGTTGAACTGCTGCTCCTTCTCCATGTTGTAGGCCTTGAGCTCCATCTGCTCGAACTCGCCGAGCTCGGGGAACCAGGGCTGGGTCTGGTTGACGACGATGAGATCGGTGCGCTGGAGGGAGTTCTTGGTGGAGATGATATCGAAATCGGCCTTCCAGGAGAGAATGTGGTCGTGGAAAGAACCCTGGGTGCCAAGGCCGACACGAGCGCCAAAGTTGGTCTGGTCCTTGTAGTAGGGGGAAGACTGGAGATAGCCGGAAGCGCGGACCTCAATCTCGATGGAGCCGTCAACGTGGAAAGCATAGTCGAAGAGGTAGTCGTAGTTACCAATGGTGGCGATGGTGCGGGCATGGAGAGCAGAGCTCTTGACGGCGGCAATGTTGGAGAAACCGTTGGGGTTGCCACCGCTGCCATATCTGTGACGGGCAACGGGGTATCCGGAGTCAGACTCGAAGAGGCAGATACCCTGGGGGTGGACATCGGTGACATCGTTGGCGGGGTAGGTGACGTTCAGCATGGTGGCTCCGAAGGGCAGTCGAACCCCTCGATGAGAGTGGCAGAGGTGGAACCGATGGAGAAGTAAGTGTCGTGGTAGACAGTGTTGGCAGCCTTGGGCTGGTTGCCAGCATACTGAGCAGCAGCCTCCTGGAGAGAGAGCTCGTAGATGATGCGCTCACCCTTGAACTTGATGTCGTAGAACATGAGACCGAGGATGCGAGTGAAGGACATGTAGAAAGACCAGCCCATGAACTCAACATACTGGTTCTCGCGGTCGAGCTTGTAGCGCTTGCCACCAATCTCAATGCTCTGGGGAGCAATGCGGTCGTCAAGGTCACGGACACCCATCTCAGGGACAGCCTTGAGAAGGGCCCACTCCTGGTCACGGGTCTGGGGGAACTCGCTGATGATCTCGCCAGCCTCGAAGGCCTTGCGGAGCTCATCGGCAGTCTTGAAGAACTTGGTGTTGGTGACATAGCCGCGGAGGGTGTACTTGGAGATGTCGGTGCCGGTGATGTCGAGAATGATGTAGAAGTCAATGGGAGTGACGTAGCTGGCGGCACCAGGGTATCTGAACATGATGGTGATCCAGGACTGGGAGCCATCGAGAGAGTGGGGACCAGTGTTGGCAGCGACAATGTCGGTGCGGGGGTCGCTGGCACCGTAGTAGGTACCATTGAAGAGAGCCTTGGTGATGTCGGCGACATCAGTCATGGCCTGCTTGAGGAGAGGCTGATAGCCAGCGGTGCGCTTGCCATCCATGTAGCGACCATCGTAGGGGATCTTGCCACCAAGGCCGCCGTTGAAGGGGTAGTCGTAAGGGGCGATGGTGGTCTCAGCACCAACAGGAAGGGGGCCAACCATGTACTCCTGAGAGACAGGCTCCTCCTTGCCGCCCTCGAAGATGACGACACGAGCATACTTGGGAGGCTGAGCTGCATCGCCGTCGATGTAGCTGAGGACCTGGGTCTTGTTGAGGTACAAGGTATCGACGAGGAAGACGTAGTTGTCGGTCAGGGTGGCGTTGGCAGGGTCCGTGAGGTTGAGGGCGCGCTCAGGAGCGTGGACAAACTTCCAGACATCTTTGACATCCTGAGGAGAGATGGGAGCCCAGGCGTTAGCCTTGGGAGCCTTGACGTGAGGAGCTTCGTCGGTGAGGGCGCAGGTGCGAACGTCAGCAGCGCTCACAGCGCGGCGCCAGAGGTCGGGTTCCGGACGAGCAGAGACGGGGGCGATGGCCAAGAGGGCCGCCACCAGAGACTCAGCGAGCATCTCGAAGGTATTTGGGTTCGTGAGAAGACTCGAACTCAAAGGAAGATGCAGATGGATGAGGGGGTGAGTGAGGTGATGAGAAAAGGTGGTGTCTTGTCGAGGGCGAGACACTCATGTCTTATACCTGCGCGAACTGCAGGTGAGACTGCATGTTTGCTATCATTCCAGATAGACAACTCGCCGTTCCGTGATCCCGAGATCTCGGGATCACACATTGGTAGTCTGAGATAAGACTGAAGTTGAAGTTCACCGTGTTAAGACTACAGGGCTTGGCACATGGTGTGCTTGATATGTGCATGTCGACGACAATGGCTGCATGCCAGCGGGGAGCTGCAATGCTACCCCGCCATGCGGAGAAACGCAGGTAGGAATATTGAATTCAAGGTGACAGCTTCTTTTGGCAGCATATCGCCCTTTTACCAATCAATCTCCCTTGTTCAGTCATGTTGGGCACAGGTGATGATGTGTTCCAGCTCCTGGTATCCGCGGTATGCAGTCCAACAGAACCAACACAGGGTAGAACTCGCAGTTGAGACAGTAACGACCATCTTCGGTATCTCGTTCCGGAGGAGCTTGACCGACGCGACGAGCCGTAACCATGTGGACGGTAGTGAGAGGCTTGTCGTCGTCCGGCCCGCTTGGCTGCGGAGGTGTTCAAGATATCGGAACGTCCTGAAACCTTCAGCGAACCAGATCAAAGTTGCCCTTGGGACCTGGAATGCCGAGTTGGGCCAGGGACGGAAGATGCGCGCTGTCAGTTTTGGGGTTCGCGCATCCCGCACCTGGGGACGATTGATAAGGCTCCCATTGGAGCGATTGGAGGTTTTGAGCGGTAAGAGAGGTCGGAGCCCCAGCAAAAGCCATGACCAATTGATTTTCCTGCCAGGTTATCGGTACGCCAAGCAGGCCGTCACGGATTCGGAAGTTTTGTGCGGAGCGGCCAAGCCTGCCATAAAGACTGCCGGGAGTGTGGCAATCCGCCGGGACGCCAAGCCTCGATTCTAGTCTGGTGTTAGCGGGACAAACCCTTTCGAGGCCGAGATAAGACGTCTTGGTTGCCCAGCTATGGTGCTCTGCTTTACCCATCCGACAAGCGATATCTCCTTCCGAGGCTGCCGGCGGCAGGCAAAGCAACTGACAACCGGGAACAAAAAGGACTGCCGAATTCCGGATGATTGCCTAGCATTGAGACTATTGTCTTGCCAGCTTGAACGCAAGAGATAGAGAATAACACGTCGCCACTGTCGGGCGAAGGCAGGAGCAAAAAAAACGCATCGGACCGATGTGGTGGCAATGCGGCCAGGACCAACAGAGTAAACGAATGTCGACAAAGGTATTGCCGGCCGGAGGAGTTGGAGATAGCCTCGACATCAAGCATGGAAAGACGACTGATTGGTGGAAACCAGGATGGTGGTGAAAATTTGAGGCCGCTGTCGGATTAGGAACGACACCAAATCAGCTCGTGCTCGAAGAAATTTCTGCAGGTGGAAGGAACGACTATCCAGGCAACTACTGCCGTCGTGTGATCCATAGGTACTTTCTATCATCTTCAGGGAAAGAGTCATCGCCTGCCTGGCAATTTGATGTCATTGTTGGTACCTTATAATTAGGTTTCTTTCTTTCAACATTGAGATTGACAAGAAAGCCGCCGTTGATGGATTACTTGGTCAGCTTACATACTGGCAACAGGGCTGCAGCTGGTTTTGTTACCGTGGAACAAAAGACAATACGAGGCAAGATGCACTGCATCGGTGATAACTGGGGGAGAAAACAAGAAACCGTGGCTGTATTTTCCCATGGTGACTCGGAATAGATCCATTAATCTGATGCTAACATGGTAATGCTACACGTTAATGGGACGGTGATGATCAATTGTTTTTTTATCCCCGGTAGCTAGCCCTAATAATCTTCTCCAATAAAATGCATACCGACCTGTCAGCAGATATAAGGTCCATTGCAAGTGTCTGTGTTGGTGGTCTTACGAGAGAGTAACATCAAATGAACGAGGCTCAAAGCGGTCAATGAATTGTGAAGATAATTAGAAATATTCAGGCTTTGATGAGACGACAACCTGATACTACAGTTTCCGTCATCTAACTTACGTACTTGGATCCCTGCCTAGTTGATACATTGATTCAGGGACTTCAATCATATGTACAAGCTTCTGTTCAGCTCAACACCAAGGTCTCATTCTGGCCGTACGCAGAATTCCAAGCAGACAACTAAACAATCTAAAAGCACATTGTTCCCAAAGAAAAGCCCTTTCGGATCACCACCGCGTTAATACAGACAGTCAAACCCCGTTGGCCTTGCAAAATCCTCAAGTCCTCTCAACCCAGTCCATCACCCCGACAACTACCACCATCCCCACAATTTTCCATCAACCAAAAACCCCCTAAAACAACCCCCAAAGAATCAACACATCAGAAGGCGTATTAGGCTCCCCACACCCTATCCGTCCCCTCGAACTAACCTTCCCATCCGAACTTGCAAACTACCTAATCGAGTGCCTAATCAGATCCTTGATATTATCTCTGGTTACTACGGCTTACTTCACTAGGCGAAAAGAAGTTGATAAGTAAGGAGGAAAAGCCTAATATATTATATTATTCTATTTAAGTTCCCGAGTCCATCAAAGCCCAGCAATAATCATCCACTCCCGTTTCCACTATTCCGGCTCTACAAGCTGTATCTCTCTTTACAGAGTAAAATATAGACCGGAGATGTGAACGGCCAGGGAATATAACACTCAACTTTGTTTTTTTGCAACCTATCCCAAATATCAACCAAGAGACAATACCATCACGTTATAGTGTCTTAGGGTGGCATATAATCGACGGGCTGGCCCTTGGCATGGTGGAGGATAGTGATATAGGGACACCTATGGAACATCCCCTCACTTGACTAGCTGGGCCATCCTACGTCAGTGTGACAAGGGCTGTGATACAGGGCTTGGAACAAATAGTTCAATTCCAGTAATAATCTTCAATGGCCTCGAAGTCCATGATGAAGGAAAACTAGGAGCAATACAGTGATTCTGAACGCGTGTTTATCTCCCGTCAAATGGTCCGTGCCTTCGTGCCTCAGGCCTCTACCAAGTCCTTCAATATCTCTCTGGGCCAATAGGATTCCTTTGATACCCGCCTTGCCTCTGTTTGTCTGCCTCACTTTTGACGAGAGGCTCACAACGTGCAGTTGCCCCTCCTTAAGGTGATATTTGGCGTTGTTGTTGGTCGTGGCTTCTGGAGGTTGGTCTTTGCCGTGTGACAGTCAGACCTCCAGCTTCTCCTCCAGCCGCTCTCTGAATAACCATCTTCATTCATCAATCATGGACGCCGACGACCTGCCATCGCTGATGAGCGGTCTCGCCATCTTTTCTGGTGGTCATGTTGTCTGGTCTGTTGGTCCCTATTTTGATGGAGGCAAAAATCACTCAGACCTTGACGATATCAAGCTCTACCATGTCTACGACAGCCTCTCCCAAACCCCGTACATTGACGGAGTCGGAATCCGCGCCGGAATGTCGGTCTCGACCCTTGGAGAATATGGCGGGCTTTCAGCAGAATCACTTAGCAACCACTCGAACTGGAATCACCAAAACGCAACACCATTCGTTTCACTCTAGGATGACTGGGCAAAGGGAGAGAAAGAGGTCGAATGACGACTCAAGAAACCCGAGGTGTACTTCCAAAGCACGAGACAATCGATATTCCATAACGAGGTTCAGGCCGCTGTTGTCTCGCGGAACCAGCTTCTGGAGACCAACAGCCTTGCTTTCAACCTTGCAGAGCTCTTGAACAAACCAGAGCATAAAGACTTATTGGCGACACTCTGGGCCAAGAAAACCCCAATCAGCCCCAAGGAGTGGCTAGCCATGTATTCGGTTTTAGATGATGCGGTGGTTAAAATCTTGACGTTCCGGGATGCGACTCGACTTGTGGAACGGCGTACCGGGCTTACATTTCGGCAACGCTTGAAGGCTCTGAGCGTACAGGATTGCTCTGAGTGCAGTGGAGGCAGCACCGATCACGTCGATGCGGGGACAGAGTTGAGATGGCGCCATGTTGCCCCTCATATGATGAAGAAGAAATTCTTGCACCCCGATGGTTCGTTCCGCCAAGTTTCCCACCAGCAAGACTCAGCGAAAGAAGCAACTGGGCGGCACATTGACAAGATTGCGAGGGGAGATACGGACGGCCTTTTGTGGAAACAAGTCCAACCTCGGGGACAAGTTGTATCAAGGCTTGCTAGTAATGGGCTCCATGTCTGATCCGCTTTGGAAGACTGTCGCCCCTAAGAGGGTATTGAAGAGGTTCCAGGATTTGGTAATTTATATCTACCGCAAAGTATTTCCCGAGACTGCAGATCGGGCCAGATGGGAATGATTCAAGACGATGAAATGGTCTTGGTCAAAAACTTTAGCTCATGGTTGTCGCGATATGGAAGCCTTTGGGAGCTGGATGGCTTGGAAGGTAATATTGACTGGGTCATTCGCGGGGAAAGGCTGGTGGTTGAGCCCATTGACAAGCCCATCTTCATGTGATATGACTTTCATCGATAGCTATAATACCAGACCCGCACAATTTAGCTTTCTTTCTCGTCTTTTTCCCCCAAAAGGAGACAAGGTCTCTCCTCGCATCAGGGGTGGAGTTGTTGTGGGTTCATCTGATGCGAGCAGATAGCAGAATCATTCCAAACCCGCTCATCTAGCTCATGCTGATTTCACCTCAGACAGCCTCACAACAAGACAGACTTTTTATCATAATTCGTGCCTCAGCCCCATTGACTATGACTTCCAAACCGTGCCTGGCTGAAAAGGAGAGCGACTTTCGGCCCTTCGAGTTCGGGCCGCATCTTGATGGAGAAGATATCACGCTCTACCGCGTGTTTGATAACGGTTCGCAGGCTCCCTACAGAATCGGGCGCGGGTTTCGTGCAAAACTCTTCAAACCTCGTCAGCAAGATGTACTGTTCTCTGAAGTAACCACAGGCGACGCACT